ACTCCTGCCTCCATGCTTCCAGCCTTCGCTGTCCACATGCTTCATTTTCAAACAGCCACCTCTTTGCTCTTGCATGTACAGCCCCTCAAACATGGGACCAGCACCCCATAAATATCTGCAAGGTAGCCTCACTGACTGCCCATCTTCAGCTCCTACTTGGGAATACTCTTTTGCCATGATGTCTACAAAACACTGGACAACAGGCGACTGGTGAGCTGAGGACACTTTCCATCATGGTGAACAATAGTGTCTCATTGTTTCCTGATACACATTCTCTCTCTCTCCATATATGTAGAGAGAGAGAGAGAGAGTTTGCACATGCTTGTCTGTGAATCCATCCATTTGTTCAAGAACTCCTCCTAAACAGTAAGTGCCAGGACAACACAAAGATCCTCGAATGGGATTGTTTTCCATAACACAGAAAGGGAAAGCAGGGACATTTATGCTCTGCAACGACCACAGGGGGCAGCAAACACCAGGAACAGAGCAGTCAGCTGAGGCCACAACTCTACGTATTGCTGGCTACTAGTACTAGCCACAGATAAGTAGCTCCCTGTCCTAAACCCCTCACCCCAGCCCTTGTCTGCAGTGCCAGATAGGGAGGGGGAGCCCTACTCCAGGTGACAGGCTGGGGCTAGGCAGTACAGTCCTCCCCGCAGAGGAGACACAGGTCAGGGCCAATTACCGGAGCCCTGCTTCCCCCTCCCCCCCACCCCACTCAGGAAGACACAGGCTGGGCCAAGTAGTGGAGCCCCACCCTTTCTTCCCCCCCTCAGAAGACATGGGCTGGGGGCAGCCAGCACAGCTCCCACACCCCACCAGAAGAGCCATGGGCTGGGCAGCAGAGCCCCAGTGCCCCCAAGGAGCCCAGCTCCAAGCCTCATCCTCTCAGAGGAGACATGGGATGGGGAACAGAAACCCAGCTCTACCCCAGGAGGAGTGTGAGCTGGGGCCAGATAGCACAGCCCCAGCCTCCACCCCCTCGAGGAGCTGCCAGATGTGGCCAGGCAGCACAGCCCTGACCTGCCAGAAGGAGCCACCATCTGGGCAGCATGGCCCCGGCTCCCTAGAGAGCCACCATCACAGTGCTGCCTTCATTGCTGTGGGTGGCCCCAGTGAGCCTCCCCAGACCTCCCAATCCCATTCTGAGCTACCCACCCCATGCCCTGAGCCCACCACCCAGTCCCTGCCCTGAGGCCCCCACCCCTGCCCAGAGCAACCCACATCCCAAGCCTCTGCCCTGCCTCCTGCACCCCCCTACCCTGAAGGACCCGAGCTATGCTGGGTAAATCTTCAGTACATAGACAGAAAGACCCATCATCTCTTTTCTTATATTCAGACTGTAAGTTCTTTGGGATCATCTTTTTTCTTCTGTTTGTACAGCACCAAGAACAATGGAGGCCTGATCCATGATTTGGGCTCCTGGGCGCTACTGAAGAACAAAATGATACCTGAACATCGGTTCCCTGAGCCACTCTTTCTTTGGGAGAGGGAGCAGAGAAGGAGGCAAGATGCAAGCAACAAACCTTTGCTCAAATGCGTGAGAAGCCAGCAAGGATAAGGCAAGGCCAGTGAGTTGCATGTCTTCCCTTGAGAGGTCTGATGGTGTGTAACAGGAGACAGATGGGACAGCTGTGGGGGATGGACCACTAGTCTGATCTAGCATGTCAGCCACGAGGGGCCAGATTTTAGAATGCATTCATGCTTACAGATACAGGTGGTAGGTGCCAATGGGCTTTTCAGAAGCTCCTAAGCAGGTTAGGCCCCTGACTCACACCAATGGGAGTTAGAGGACTAGCCTGATTGGTCATTTTGAAAATCCCACTAGGGCTCTAAATACCTTTGAAAATCTGCCTCTAGATGGCTGAGGCAGGCTGGTGGAGCAACCTGAAAAAACTCAAAGCTATCATTACTACACATGCAAAATGAGACACACCGAGGTGTTTGCGTCAGTCTGAAGGTGATAGCTAGTGGTTGCAGGGCAGGATTTTTGGAACAGACACACACTGTGTTTTTGGAGGAAGATTTGTATTACAAAAGCTACAATAACTCATTTAAGCAGGTCACTAGAGAGGATCAAGGGAGTTCTTCTAATTGTATCTCAGCTCCAGTCCATCCTCCAAAATGTAGGAGGTTCTCAACAGCCTCCAAGGCCGCTCCCACCCCAGAGACATCCCCGGCCATGCCCCAATTCAAACAGCTCCTACTGACACATTAACAAGGTACAATGCTTTGGTTTAAAAAATTCCGATTTATTCAAGGAAAAAAATGTTTCCCATTTCAATGCACCTCTGAGGAATAACACACATGTAAACTGGCTCTTCATTTAAAAATAAATGACATTTCCCATCTCTGGCCTTGGAAAACAGTCTGTAGGCAGCAGCCCACAGCATCTCCTGAAAGAATCTCTTATTCCCCACAGAAACTTGTCCCCCAGCAAGAACAATCTGGGGCTGTGCGATTTGATCAGCGACGGAAAGTACATCAGAACCAAACCTGGAGAGAGTCACGTTCTTGTGCTCAGGACAGCACGAGGCTGGCAGCACTGGCTGGAGCCAGGCAAATGCTGCACAAGTGATTCATGCATAGCTCTGCCACGGGCCATCTATCTGACCTGCAGTATCCCCTGCTGCTGCAGGCCTGCCACCTCACAGAAAGCCTCCACGCAACATGGCTCACGTACCAGCATCCACTGGGGACTTGGATGAGATCCCTCCAGCTCGTTTAACTGGCAGCCAGCTCTGCATTTGGACGAGAGCATTCACTACACTGAGCCCAAGGCCAGATCACTAACCTTTACCTTACTGATGACAGTTAAAATGAGCTTCAGTCAGAAACCAGCTTCTTTTACATTTTTTAAAAATGGGGCTGAACGGAATAGCTGAATGTGCAAAAGAAAAGGCTTGTTCCTCTGAGCCAGTAAGGCAGCAGGTCAGTAATAGTGCAGTCCCAATGCCTCCGAGTGGTTGATTAAATCTACCGTCAGCTGCTTGGGCCCAGGGAAAGAAACCATTTTTGACAGAACACACATGATCAGCCGCTCTGCTTCTTCCCAGTGTTTATGTAGTCGCTGGGCATCCTACCCCAATGAGCTAGTAGGCTGGTATCATTTCATTTTAACGCAGCAAAATAAAGGTCATTAAAACAATCCACAACCCAAAGCACTAGGTGAATTTAGTGAGACTAAAAGTGCCAAATGGACACCCATGGAGCCTGAGGTCCCCCCTTTAGCCACAAAACAACTACAGAAAGGCAGGCATAGCACAGGCCTCACATCCCCCAAATCCACAGCAAGTGGAATCCCCCAGGAGGAAGGTTGGGAATAAGAGTTCTGCCTCCACAGCTTACTCAATCCTTGGTCTTTTTGCAAGGGGTTTCAAAAGGGTTTTCCATGGAGTGCCAGAGGCCATGGTGGTTACCCATTTGCCAGGAGCTGAGCCGAGACCTGAAACCCACTAGATCAGCTCACATAAGTCACCAGCTTAAGACGACTTGGGGTTGGGTTTTTTTTGGCAGTTCAGACAGTCTTTACTCCAGACCCTTTGCTGGGAGGGCTTACAGCAGGGGTACTCAAACTGGGGGTCATGAGGTTATTACGTGGGAGGGGGTGCAAAGTGTAAGCCTCCACCCCAAACCTTGCTTCACCGCCAGCATTTATAAGAAGGGCTAAATATGAAAAAAGGGTTTGTAATTTAGGAGAGGAGATTGCACTCAGACGCTTGCTGTGGAAGGGGTCACCCAAACAAAAGGCTGAGAACCCTGCCTTACCCTGACATTAGCCTCTCTGCAGCACGCTCAGTCTTGTCCTTGCAAGCATAGCAGTTCCCTTCTCCTCCCATCCCCACAGCAGCCTGAGAAAGCTCCCTCTACATCGGTGGATGGGGGGTTACCCCTGTTGGCTGTCTCTCATCCATGACAGCCAAGGGTCTGTTTAGAGGCTTTAATATTATGAGTTGAGTTTTTTTTTTTAAACAATAAGACACTGACGGACCAATGGACACATTCCACCGAGGGACACCCATGTGATTATATACTTCACCGACTATAACTCTCTTTGCTCTATGGATGCTGTGCCCGAGACCACGTATTCTCTGAAGCTTCAAAAACTCACCCACCTTAATCTGGGACAATGCTGGTTATGTACGTTATGTATCTTGTGAACTGTGTAACCAATACTTGTAACTCCCACAAGCCCAGCTTGGCCCAAGATGTACAGAGCCTTCCTTTTTAGCTTGTAGCAGGTGTGCTTTATTTCAAACAGTGGCTTTAATAAAATTTTTCAAAAAACTGTGTAACCGATACTTGTAACTCCCACAAGCCCAGCTTGGCCCCGTTATGTATCTTGTGAACTGTGTAACCAATACTTGTAACTCCCACAAGCCCAGCTTGGCCCCAGATGTACAGAGCCTTCCTTTTTAGCTTGTAGCAGGTGTGCTTTATTTCAAACAGTGGCTTTAATAAAATTTTTCAAATTTTTTTAATAAAAAGTCATCAAGAAAGGAGAAATCTGATTGGTGGATGGAGGGTCCAACAATGCAGGATTTGGTACAAGAGGCAGAGGAAGGACTAGCTGGTCAAGTGAACCATACACAAGCACTATCAGCTTTGGAACCGCTGAGTTACACCACCTACCCCGTTTCCAGGGGAAGGGAGTGTGTTAATACCTAGCTTTGGAGCCGCTGAGTTACACCTCCTACCCCTCGTTTCCAGGGGAAGGGAGTGTGTTAATACCAGACATGGTGCTGAAGGTTCCCAAGGCCTGTGAGTCTCTGGTCTAACCACACAGCCTACCATGCATTCCCTCTGTCCGGTATAACTATGCAGCTTCCAACACAGTCCTGCTCAGTACTGCATTGTGGCTCCAGGGGAGCAGATGCCCCTCTAATCCCTCTTGCCTCCGTGCAGTCTCACTGTCAGCATCAGCCAAGCCCTACAGTGCATGCACCCCTGACCTACTGGACTCTCTGTATGCCAGTATCTATGGAGAGCTCTCCCATGGGGTTTGTGTCCAGTCCCCTCTCCAGCTTCAATCCAGTCCTTGTCTGACATCACAGAAAAAAGGAAAACAAAAGCCACTAAACAAATGAAAGGTGACCCACCCGGCCTCCTCCCGAGGCTGTGGAGGGAGTAGGACACTCTGCTTCCGGCCACGGCATCTCCCGCCAGCAGGGCTCTCAGCGATGAGGCAGGTGCCAGCGTTATAACTCCGACTGGGAGCGCGAGATGCGGGGCCCCTTGCGGATCTCCTTCCGTTTCTCCTCTTTCTTTCTCCGTTTCTCTTCCTCACGCAGGGCCTTCTGGAACGTGTCTGCACTGGGGAAAAACTGAGCGCCCACAGACGAGCTCCGCTCAGCCCACCGCACGGGTACAGGCAGGGAAAGCGCACCCAGTGCCTCCGAGCTCTCAACAGGCCGTAGGGTTAATTAACCCTCTTAAAGGGAGGGAGGGGGAGAGTCTCCCCTCCCTTACGCCTGTTGTAGCCTTATTGGCATCACTGGAGTTACTTCTGGGTGAGCGCGTGATCCAAAGTCACTTGAATCAATGGGCAAATTCTTGCTGACTCCACGGGCTTTGGAACAGGGGCAAATCAGAACCCTTCACTTCAGTGAGGCAAGCGCGACTGCCCCCATCTTACCCAAGGGGACGTTCGGGAATAGAGAGATGAAGCGACTTGCGCAGGGCTGTCCTACAAACTTGGAGTCTCCTTGCTACGTGGACCCATGGAAGGGGCACCCAAATCTTAGGAGGCGGGGCCAAATGTGGACCTTCAGTGAGGAGAGAGGTGGGTTTGCAAGGGCAGCAAAGCTCCCAGGCAGGGGGGTGGCTCCTTGCCTCGCTGCTATGTGAGCACCCAATCCGGGCATGGCACCAGGCTCTGAGAAGAGCTGTCTCTAAAAGGAGAGATGGGCCCCAACATGGCACCTTTAAGGGCAAACGGGGAGATAAACAGCAGCATGTATGGAGCTGCTTTTCCCAAACTGCTGTGCAGTTTCCGCATTCAGCAGCAAAAGCGATTCCCTCTCTGGAGCACGGACACTGGAGGGAGGGGTCACCAGCACCGCTCCATGGTCGGGGGCAGGAAGAAGGGCACAATCAGCCTGCCCACCAAAAGGTGCCACAATTACGGACAGCACAACTGGCTTGGAATGAGCTTAAACCCCATCCCAGCCCCAGGCATCAACAGCCCCAAACTTCTGACCTTTTCATTCCCAAACCAGTGCAGGGGATAAAGGCAGAAGAAGAAAGAGGCACAGGGATTGACTTGTGGCTTTGCCCTCTTACCTCGGACTGGTCGGTTTTAAAAGGATTCCGGTAATCTGGAGATTTCTCACTAATTCCCAGCTCCTGAGCCATCTGTGGATCACCAGAACATCAGTGCTTGTGAGCAGCATCTTTGACCCCACTGCTCCCTGTGCTGCCCCAATTCTCTTGTTCCTCCAACTCCATCTCTCCCCCTCTTGATTTACTTCCCTCTGTTCCCTCCACCTCTCCCCCCAGTCCAATAGCTCTGCCTTCAGGAGTCAGGATAATTAAGCGCAGAGCCTTACCAGTCCGAGCACTTGGGCATGAGGTCCCTGGTCAAACACGCCCGTCTGGTTGCAGAAGCTGATGCCCCAGCGGACCAGGTTGTTCCAGTTGGAGTTGCGGTCAAAGTAGTGGTGGACGATTTTGGGGAAGCGCAGCACCACATCTCCAAAGAAAGCCGTGTTCTCCACCACGTGGGAATAGGCTAGGGGGCAGAGTCACAGTGGCAGTCAGCAGGGGGCTTGCTGTACATGCCTCTGGCAAAGAGCAGACCCATCTACAGTTCTCTTCCTTCTGCATATAAGCCAGCAGCCATTGCCTTCCAGCCAGGAAGCTCTCAGCCTACCTGCTGCCCGCAGGGTCAGACCAGGGGGGAAGCCCCCTCCTCTCAAGCTGCCAAGAGGACTGCAGGGCAGTCCCAGTTTAAGTGGAGACATGCAGGATGCGCCCTCAAACACAGCAAGCCAGGGTATCGAATAGTGACTGAAAGTTTCTCATTGTCTAGGTCTGCACTGGTCGGCAAACACCCCAAGGAGGGGCGCCCCGGCTGGGTCTGGATCAGCAGGCGCTAATAAGCACAGCACAAGGCTGCGCTTTCCTGCCGACAGTTGCCAGAAATGCTGGCTGGAAGAGCCCCAACACGCAACATCTTCTCCACCTGCCTCAGACCTGCCCAGCACAGGATTGTTCCCTAGACTATCAACTCCCAGGGGCCTCAGCTAGATTAGTTTAAAATAACTCAAGCAATGTGGCCAACAACACTCGTTCCCAATGGGAGACTACTCTCCTGGACAACAGGCCTAGATGTTAGGAAGTGGGATGCTATACTCAGCCCAACTTTTCCCTTGGTCCATTTCTTGCTTTTAAGACAGAGACATAAACCCCTTTCTGCCTGCCGTCTTTCTGCCAGCAGGTACGTTAGAAGGCTTGCTTAGTTCCCACCCTCACCTCCTTTGCTACCATCTAGCCAAATTCTTAAAGACAATTCAGTCTTTCCAGAGGGGTAAATTCATCTCTTGGATATAGGTCTATGTATCTCTCTTTGGGCGAGAGTGGTCTGCTCATCTTAGTTGTCCTCATAAATCAACCCTCTAGCCATCATAGATACTCGCCCATAGGCTGAGGACAGGGAAAAATATAACTCTCCCCAAATTCCATCCTTGAAGTGATTTTCTCCTCTGAAACCATTACTGGCCATTAATGCCTTTGAGAGAGAGTAACTGACAGATGTTCTTGTGTTCCTCAATCACATAAGGGCCCTCAATCTTCATGCATCAGGTCATAAACTAATCATTGGGTGAAGTCAGGAAGAAATGTTTTCCTCCACGTGTTGTATAGCATTAAACAAAAACAATGCAGTATGGGAGGTTTTATGCCTGACACCAGACTAGATGACCCCATCAATTTTATGGTCTCCAGTATCCTCCTCGTTCAGCACACTGTACAGAACTCCAGGTGCTCTCTTGTCATCAGCCATGCAAGGAAATAGCCAGATTCTGTTCTGCTTCACAGATCACTGGCAGAGTCACCCGGCTCCACTCCTCTCCCAGGATCTTCCAGATGCTGGCAACAATGATGCAGAAAGCAGGAGCAAGAGCCACGTGGATGAGAAAGGGTTCTAGCTGGGACTGACCATTGAGGCTGTAATGGTTTCATTGGGGACCATGAGATCGTCTAGTCAGACCTCCCACATAAGACTCGCCACTGAATATCCCGAGTTACCCCTGCACCGAGCCCATCTGAGAAGCCCATTGGAAGTGGAAACTGGGACTAAAAGGAGAGGAAGTCCTACCATCTTTTAGCTTCTCATCGTGAGGGAAGGGCCCATCTGGAGGCACATCTGCAGCTATAAGAACCGCCCGGGAGTCCTCCAGCACCTACACATTCAGAAAGCGAACTCAGTGAATCCATCTGCCTCTCCAATCCCATCGGTCTGCTGCCTGCCTCATGTGTCCTGCCAGCTCCAGCCTCCTCTCACTTTTTGTTGCTGTAGCAGCTCAGGAGTACAGTCTGCCCCGACTTTCACACCCTGTTATAAAATGGAGCCCCACCCACTTACACCCCATAGTGACCGTGGGTTCACCGCTCACTCTCATCACTCCTCCACTGCCCCCTTTCCCTCCCTCCCGTCGCACAGTCCCATTGTGATGTTCCATGAGCCCTGCCTGCTCAGCCACTGGCTGGGAACAACACCCACTGGTGGGAGGGCTCTCACAGGGCACCCAGCAGCACCCGCTGCCCCGGAGGAGGGACAGGCTCACTTTGAAAAGCCCTTTGAGCATGATGTCGATGATTTTATATTGTTGGTTCACGTCATTGAGCTCAATCAAGTTTTTCAGCGCGTTCATCTGGTCCTTGCGCTTCACCTCAAACAGCTTCTTATCTGCAGCTCCGTCAAGGATCACACGCACTGCCCAGACTGCTCTGCCTCCTGACAGCATCACAGCCTCCAATATCGGGGCCTCAGAGCTTAAGTCTGGGATGAGCCTGCCAGCCTGAGCGTGCACACTTGTGTTGTTGGGGCTCCCATTACTGTGCTCACAATAGCTGTGCAGAACCTCCCCTCCAACCTCCCCCATGCTCGAAAGGTAGACCAGCAACATCCCTAAAGCATCTACACTGCAATTTTTAGCTCACTAGCACAAGCCCTGCTGGCACTTGCTTGTGAACCTGGACTGGGAGGCTCACTCCCAAAGGAACTATAGATGCGAAGTCCCCCCCGCAAAGTCTCCCAAAGACAGGCCACCTCTCCCTCTTTCCCAGGACTAGACTCAGACCCACAATCTATTTTTATAGACTTGCAACATTTCTCCTTCCCACAACTCCAGACTCAACCATTCCCAGCAGAGAGGTGCTGATCCAGGCAGCGCTCCAGAAAAGACATCACCCAGGCTGGTACAATCATTTATGGGACCTCCACAGTGTCTAGGGCATGGCGTGAGTGACTGAGTCTACCTGCTTCAACAGCTCAGAGATGGGAAACAGGAGCAGGCTCTGCACAACCCTGTAATGCAGACATCTGCCCACAGGCCCCTCAGGACATTTAATAAGCACTAAGAATTCATACTGAGCTTTACATTTACAACATGCTGCCAGCCTGGGAACAGCTATTCTGAACTAATGTAAATTCCCAACCTCTCCTGCAGTACGCAGGGAGCTCTGGGCATCCTACAATGCCAGTCTGATTAACTCTTCACCAGGGGAGGCTGGTACAGACAGGAAGGATCCGTGTCAGCTGCTGCTGCTCCGTATGAATGATAAATACGTAAGAGACCTAGACCAAACTGAGTGAAACCATGTGCAAAGAAACCCCTCGCCAACAGCAGCAGTGTCAGGCCGCCATTGCGAGGGAGCCCCATGCAGGTTTAGTATAACTTGGTTAAAGATTTAAACTAAGCGTCACTTCTACAAGGCAATTATTTAGACTGGTTCCCTAAGGGTACGTCTAGACTATACCTCTGTCGACAGAGAGATGTAGTTTAGGCACATCGAAATTGCTAATGAAGCAGGGATTTAAATATCCTGCCCTTCATTAGCATAAGCATGCCCACCGCTTTTTTTCTAAACGGAGCTTTTTCGGGGAGGGGGGAGAGAACACCCAGCAGTCTAGATGGGGATCTGTCGAAAAATAAACCCTTTTTAATAAAACCTCAGTTTTGAGGAATACAGGATCGTTCGAAAAAGGGTTTATTTTTCAACAGATCCCTGTCACTGCCCTTTTTTTTTTTTTTTTTCCGAAAAAGCTCTGTTTAGAAAAAAAAGCAGTGGCCATGTTTATGCTAATGAAGCAGATATTTCAATAACTGCTTCACTAGCAATTTCGACATGCCTATTCTACATCTCTCTGTTGACAGAGAGGTGTAGTCTAGACATACCCTGAGTGTTGGCTTAAAGGGCAGCGCTCCAGACTGTCACACTCCAATGCAATCCCCCCAAGTTGAGAGAAGTAAGGTCTAGGTCCTCAGCAGTGGATGCTGGCATAGCTCCATGGAAGCCTATGCAGCAACTCCAAGCTACACCAGCGCATGATCTGGCTAAAAAGTTCAGTCACTTGACTTGCTGAAGAAGTCATCGATAGCAACTGGGTGGTGGCTGCTGATTGGTAAGAGGGTTTTCCGGCTGATCTCAAACACCTGTAGGGAATAGGACCTTTTGGCTTCTATCCCAGGCCCTTGGAAGATTTTGGTTTATTTTTGGAGAATTTATATGGATTAACAAAGGACAACTCCGGATTATTTCTGCAAGAATCTCACTGTATATTTGGAAGGAGAGAGAGAAAGGCCTGGGGGCGGGGGAGCGCATGAAGTCTCCTCCCACCGTGCCAGGAGCATGCGGCACTTCAAAGCGGAGGAAACTTTGTGCGCTTCCCCCATCCCCAAGCCTTAATTGGTCTGGGGGTAGGGGAGTGGCAGGGCCTCCATGGACAGGATCAACCCGCTTGGCGGGCCAGGCCTTTTTGCCCACCCCTGCTCTAGAATATAGTCTGTGCCTAATCTTCCCCTATGCCAACCAATGATAAAAGAATGAGGCAAAATGGGTCTTATATAAGCAAACCACTGAGTCTAAACAAATCCTCCCTGCAGAAGGGCAAAGAAATGGCAGCTCAGCAGTTCTGATGCAATCACATAAATCAGAGACAGAAATGAGCTAGAAATAAGGGCATCTAGTTCATTGCCTGTGGGCTGGCTAGTGCAGGATTCTTCTTTGCAAGGCCTCTTCTTAGCCCAGCTCTACCTGGCTCACTTGATGGGGATTCCACCATTTCCCTTGTGGACTGTGAAGAAATAGAGCCCAATAGTCAGGCTGCATTTTCCTTCCTTTGCTTTTATGTCATTATCCGTTATTATAACCTTGAGGCTCCCTCAGTAACTCCTCTCCCTCTATGGTGTTCAATCCACCTCATACCTTCAGATGCTCTTGTGCTCCCCACGGTTTCCCTCACCTCACACCCCAAGCAGAGGCCTGGAGAGAAGGATACAGATTTCCAAGCCAGAGTCTAGGCTCTGTTTCTCTGTGTCTGAAGAGCTGCTCCTGGACAAAATCAGCATGAAGAAAAAGCTGCAGACCCAGAGCAGATCCATTTCTGAAGTCCTGGAGCAGAATAAAAACAACAACAAACTCTCCATGAGCTGGGTAAGATGAACAAACAAATCTCCCCCCACATCCCACACGGCCCTCCGACATCACAGGCCAGAGAGCATCCCAGGACAGATGATAGGAGCCTCTTAAACATGAACCTCTCTCTCAACAGTCTTGAGTCCATTTCCTTTTCCCCTCCCCACTGCATAACAGGTGCATCAATAGGGGAAGGCAGGGCTGCCACTTCCTCTTACATCCCATAGTCACTGGCAGAAGCAGGCTTGCGGACAAGATCCATCAGAAGCCTAAAACTGCTCAGCGCAAGGGACAGGGATGTCAGACTAGACGGGGCTGTGCTCTGATCCAGTTCAGCCAATCTGGTTGCACCCTCTGCAGTCTGAACTCTGTTTAACCTGCTCTTCCCACTTGGATGGATGCCTTTAGCATCCATGTTCTATGCTACTGCCTAACCTCACTCTCTCAAGAACTTCTGAACTTCCAGCCTGAACAGCTCTATTTTTCCTGCCTTGGCATTAGCTCCTTGCCTGTACTAGCTATGTGGCTCAGTTAGGGTTGCCCTTTTAACTGCCTGTGCAGGGTTGGAGGGTAGGAGGCACAATACAAAATTACAACTCAAAGAGGGAGAGGGGACTCAGCTCAAAAAAGTTTTAAAAACTGCTTTGGGAGCCGAGAGAGGGACAGCTTGAGGCTGCATTCAGGCAGGGGGAGCTCAGGGAGCCAAGAGGACGACAGCTCGGGGTTGCGTGCAGTGAGGCATGTGGCTCAAAGTGCAGGAAGGAGGTAGCTAGGAGCTTTGTGCAGAGAGGCATGTGGTCAAGGTGCAGGGAGAGTAACAGCCGCAGCTAGGTGTGTGTGAGGGGGAAGGCATGCCTTGCTGTGGTGGCTGGTCTCTGAGGCTCTGCCAATGCTGGTGCTGGGACCCCTCACACAAGAGGCTCTTACAGCTCCCTGAGAAGTCAAAAGGGGGCTGGGAGCGGAGGGTAGCTAGGAGCTTTGTGCAGAGAGGCATGTGGTCAAGGTGCAGGGAGAGTAACAGCCGCAGCTAGGTGTGTGTGAGGGGGAAGGCATGCCTTGCTGTGGTGGCTGGTCTCTGAGGCTCTGCCAATGCTGGTGCTGGGACCCCTCACACAAGAGGCTCTTACAGCTCCCTGAGAAGTCAAAAGGGGGCTGGGAGCGGAGGA